TAGATATAGATATATATAGTGAGAGAGTGAGAGAGAGAGAGAGAACTATATGGATATACATTATAAATCTTTCATGGGACTGAGCTCTGTCCTGTTCTATTCACTAAACTGAAATGGTCTTTCAAACAACCAGGTATGTAGTAGAGTCTAAAATTGTATATGCCACCGTCTCAGCTGAAAAATGTTTACACAAATTTTGTCTGAAAGAAAATATATTTTTACCAAAATGTGCTAAACAAATGATCCAGATTTTAAAATTTATTCACTTCTGGTTTCAGTCTGCCTTAGCCTTTTGTCAGAGTTTCCCTGCGAGTTTTGTGAAGTATTGTAATGTTTGTGTACAGATGGCCAAGAATCATTTACCCTTCTTAAGCTCCCCATCCCGAAAAGGAATCACATTTGGTTTACTACACACCTCTACAGCTGTACAAATTGTTTCAGTTGAAGTGTTTGTCTTTTGTACTGCTCCATCAACTGTTTTGTCTTCAACACATCTGTGATTCCTATGCAAAAGAGACAAAAAAAAGACCCTTAAAGGAAAAATCCACCTTTTTTAAAAGCGTTCTAGGGGTTCGTTCTTCTGTAATGTGTAATATAGATGAAGGCTTTGTAACTACAGTTGTGAGCTACAACTAGAAATGAGAACTGTTGATGGTGATGAGAACTTGGAGACATTTTAATGGTCCCCTTATCACCTTCAAAACCACTAGACAAATTTATATTGTGATGTTACGGCTCAGTATTATAATAATGCTATGATTTTTGTAAATGGTGCGTGTAAGCTATTAGCTTGTGCAGACAAGATGAATGTTCTTTCAAGATTTTAAGGGCTCTTTATAACGAAATTAATGGAAAAACTGTAAAGGATGGTGTTCACTAAACACTGAATTCTCGCCATGGTTCTTTTCAACCGTTTGACAAATTAGTATTTTGACATTAAGCTGCATCTCCTTTCCTGATTCTAGCTCCAAATTAGAGAATTAAATAATATGGATTTGATCAGTCTGAGTATATAATGAGCGCGCATTGACTGTTGCAGTGGTGCTATGACAATCAACGAGAAGAATTGTTTCTCCCAGAAGAACTTCTAAACAAAGAAGCATAAATCCAGCTTTAGTTTATTAATTTTTAGTAAAACACTCAGTTTTGTTCTCTTGATAAAGGCCTACTTTTGTTCAGTTATTTTGATTCATACTGCACCTGTGCCTCTGCTACAGTGAACTTCTTCCTATGTGACTGTTGAACATTGGTGCAAAATGGCTGCAAAATCACTCTAGTCCTCAAGAAACTGGTGCCAAACATGACATAACTGTTGATGATTTAGATCAGCAAAATGTTTTACTGCAGTCACTGAAAATGTTTGGACACGTGCCATCTGCCAGTTACCCATAAGAGAAAGGCAAACCACTAAACAAAGCCCTGAAATGCACACTACTTTATCAGAAGCTGATTTTGTGAATCTAAAGTTGGATTTTTCCTTTAGGTCACTGAAACAAATGTATAGAACACATTCTCTACATGTTTCCAAAGCTTTTACTCCTAAAAGATAAGTATTGTGTTTGAGCCAAACTTCACTGTTGCGTTTCCAGTAACGTCAGAGCTTTCCTGTTATTTCTTTCCTTTCTTCCTGCCGGCTGACGGTCATTCACACTGACCTTGTATATATGCTATAGCTGAAACAAAATGCATGACTAAACTGACAGTCAGAACCTCTAAACGAAGGCCTTCTATAGCTCTGCAGATTTGATTTGTGTAACATAACGTTATCATACAGTCTAAAGGGATGCATGTATGGGTTTCTCCTGTGCAACAGTTAACTCCTGTTAATTGACTCTGTTACCTCCATCTCTGTATAATGCTACTTCACGAATGATAAAAGAATGTATTTTTTCTGTGGCAGTGTCTTAGTTTTAGCCTGTTGCCAAACATTTCTGGTCCCGTCACAGTCGGACCACACTTCTTCAGTCGTCTCTTTTCCCTCTGAAGAATCAGACTGTTGTTTCTTCCACTCTTTCTCTTTTTACTGTAGCATCTCGAGTACGAATGTAAACAGTCTTGTAGATAAAGAACCCGAAGTCCATCCGTGCTTTCTCTCTTTCCTTCTTTCCATCAGCACCACCTTAAGAAATCGGAAGTAGGCTCTGTCTTGCAAAGATTGGCATGTGTACTGATCCTTTGCTTATGTGGACTTGAATTTTTGAAAGCTTTTGCATTACACAGTCAACTGCATGACACGATAGACACACTGAGATGATCCCGTTCTGTACAAGATACTGATCTATGTATGCTGAAGTGCTGTGTGGTTTAAGGCATCAGATATGATTGTTTTTCTTGTTGCCTATCATGTCTGGTTCTGGGGACTGGGTATAGTGTCATTTTGTTTGGGGTGTTTATTGTGCAATGTTTAGTCCACTAGTTGCTTTGCACTTTATTTGTGACTTCCTGGCTCTTGAGCAGGGACTGTGCTGACTGTTTCACACCAGATATATACTCCAGAAATATTTTCATGTTAAAGAAAAGATTATTTCTCTATTTTCCTTTGTAAACTATACTTTGGCTTGTCTGGGTTTTTTTTTCTTATCTGTAAACATTTTAGGGGATGCAAAACTAGAAAGGGCTTACTCCAGTGTAGCTTGTGCTCTCCCATTGGAAAAGAATGGTGTCAGATTGTATTTGCTTGTTGGTCATCCCCCCCTCACACACACACACACGCACTCAGAATTGCATCAAGTTGGAGTGAAGCAGTGTGTATACTGCCGCTGCCAGAGTACTGTACGGTGCTGCAACACGGTCTCTCCAGGAAATTAGCCGGAGGTCTAAAATGCATATTTTGTTTATAAACAGTGTGAATCCCTCAAGCTTCAATAAGCAGACCATGTAAACCATGGTGTTCTTCGAGCTCTGAGACATGTTTACATTTTTCTGAATTGAAGCTCACGCTGGTCTTGTTTCTTCAAATTAGAAATTAAATATTGTGACAACTGTAGATGCTATTTTCACTTCGCTGTTAAACCGGGTAAGAATGAAGAGTCAGATTTAGGCTGCTAGTACAACTTTGACTAAAGATAGGAAATTAAAGGGGGAAATAATAGGGGACAAGAAATGTAACCTTTATTTGTCTGAGCTGAGGCTTAATGTCTTTACCCATTCTTTTCTTTGATACTTCTCATATGCAGAGCATTTTGAGACTTTGTAGTATTTCCCAAAATTTGATGAGCCTGAGGCTAAACATTGAAATATGTAAAAGATTTACAGTCTAAAAATGAAATTGGAAGTCCATTTTCCAAACATGAGATGGAGAGATCACCTGAAAACATATTTTCTACATCTGGGAAACTATTTAGTTTTGACTTATGTGCTTGTTTTAGTCAGGGACACCACTTTTTTTTTAACACACACTACATTTATGTTGTGTTTAAAAGCACTGATGCTAAATTTAGTCCCAAACTTTAAAAAGCAGATGAGTGAAACTCAAACATTTTTCTTGGTCTCGGAACAAATGGAAAGAGTTGCTCCTCTGGCTTTACTGCTTGGTCCCAGTGTTTTAGTTCTGAATAAAATGTCCCTTTAATAATGTGGGGTTTTCTAAACGACTCTACACTTTATAGAAATGTGTAAAAGACTCCAGTAAAACACAGTTTAAGTTCCACTTAAAGCTTAATAGTAAGAATAGCATTATATCACTGTTGTCTTGTAAGTCGTAGTAAAAGACCTGTAGTTATTTATTTGTTACCATGTGATTCTCTTTATGTGACCATTTGTTTATAAGATCAAAGAAAATGTCAATTAAATTGAATGTGGAAGAGATTTTTCTCTGCACATGGTCTTGATTTGCAGAATAATAGAATAATGCCAATTAAAAAGAAAACTGTCCAGTGTCATTTTACAACATCACTGCGTGGTGCTGTGGATATGCATGATGTTTCAATCCTGTTGTATATTGTCTTTGCTATCGTTTCTATTTTGTAATCTGTATTTCCAAATGCAAAATTTAAAAGATTATTTTGGATATGTGCATGCTTGTGAAATGTTCAGAATGTTGATTTCCACTAAAATCTGTTGAGTTTGAAAAATAGTCATGTGTGGTACTTAGAGTTTGGCCTTGTTTCTTGTAGGAATAATATACAATAGGAGTGCTTTTCTAGATACTTCAACACTTGACATAACAAAATGTTATGCCCAGGCATGTTTTTCAAAATAAGCTGTAATATCACTAACATTTGATGGTTTAGAAAATTATCTTCATTTGATTTTAATCCACCTTTAAAATGAAACATTTCACAATTGTTGATAAGCTAATGTTGTATTAACACTGATTAAACACTAGAATAAGTATATGTGAATATGTACAATACACTGTGTAGCCATAATATGTGAACTGTTACAGCTACAACAGTTTAAATCCATCAAAGTTACCAGAGTCCACATTCATTTATTAGTGAGAGTTAACGTTACAAATTGAAAATTATAAGAAGTATGGTTGCTAATATTTTGCTGCAGTATTATTTCAGACAGAAATTCTACCGGAAAACTAATATCAGTTGAACAGTTATTTTATATCACTGGCTCCCTCCTTTTTACAGGTGTGACGTTTCCCTTTGTCTGTCAGGAGTTCAGAGCACTGTCCATCTGTCAGAGACCTCTCTTGGGTTCTTCCTTAAATGTTTGAATTTACATTAATGTGTTTCTTTCTGAGACACAGTTCTTCATTGGAAAGTGTTTCTAGGATTCCCTGGGCTCGTCTCTGGTCCCTCTGTCATCAGGCCACCAGCTGGACCTGCTCGGTTCTGTATGTGTCAAAATCCTCAGGAAGTGTGTCTGAATCATGAAGCCAAGCACAGGTTAGTTCTAGTAAAAATACTCAGCAAGAAGCAGGAAACGTACTTTTGGCATTTATGACCGCATTCATGCCTCTACTTTGCATTTTTTCCAGCAAGTAAAAGACAAGTTTACAGCCCCAAAAGTAACAGAATGCTTTGTCAGTTTCTTGTTAAATAACGTGCAGACATGTTTGTACGCCTTCCTCAGTCTTGCTAGTTTTTCATCTTATAGTTTGGATATTTAAAACTATGTAACTTTACAAAAACTCAGTGTAGTATCACTTAAACATGATTAACCTGTTAAAAATAGTGAAAAACATTTGTACTCAGTTAAAATTCACTTATCTATTTAGTACTTAGAAACTTACAGTAATCATAAGGTTACTGAGATATTCACTCACCATTGCAGCGATATCGCAGGTTGGCCCAGATGATGTTTTCCTGGGAAAAGCAGAAGACTCCTAGTCGGCCTCCTCTCATCGTGGTGTCTATTATGACACCTGTGTCTGCCACCAGCTTAGGGCCTTCATAGAAACGAACCCTGTGCACCAACAAAAACCAGGTAACATCACACAGCAAAAATGGATTCATAATTTGTAATTATGATAAATAGGTTGTTCTAAACAAGATCGTTTAGAAGCAGCCAGAGGATGTCTTCTCTCTTTTTAGAGTATACTGGCTACCTCCCAGTCTTTGTGCTAAGCTGGGCTAAACGTGTCAGGGACCAGACATAACACAAAGAGCTTTAAGCATATTTTCCAAAATGTCTTAATAATTCTTTAACTCAGTTGGTACCTGATGTAGCCATCAGCAGGCCGGTGCTGGAGGAACCAGCGGTACGAAGTCTTGTCCTTCCATCCAACATTGCGAGCATCTTTCCACAGAAGTTTTACCTGGTCACTGGTGTCACCGGTGTGCCACAGGGCGTTCCTCAGGTTCTCACCTGGACCGGTGTTTGACTTGACAGCCTTTCAAAACCATAAATGAGTTGATTAGAGGGCCAGCTAAACATCAAAACCATTGAGGTAGTTTACATAGTTTTTTAATACTGATGGAGCAGTACTCTACCTTTAACTGGATGCCAGGTTCTGCCACGGCTCTGAACGGGTTTGCTTGCCAGTAGATCTGTTCCACCTGTTTCCACATCACCACATAGAAACTGGAGCTGTCCTGATAGCCAAAGATAAATCCTGCATAGTCGTCATCCGTTACTGTGTTTACATGAAACGTCCCTTCAAAATCCACGCCACTGAAAGCAGTGTAACCTGTGGAACAAGATGTGTCAATGGATGTGTTGAAAGATTAGAAATGTCTCTAGATTTATGCAAACTTTGATCTAATTTGCCTCATGATCTGATGAGTTGGTTGGAGTTGGGTAGGTAAGCGAAAAGGTTAAAAGATGATTACGTCTATTCTATATCAAATACACTTTTTTTTTTTTTTACTGATTTCAAAAGATGAGAATTCTGATAAACATGTTTCCCAAAAATGTCAGAACTGTTCCTTTAAATTGTAGCCACTGAATAATGGTCTTACCAACTGCCAACCCAGGATCGCTGTTCATTGTCTGGACAATCTCTCTTCCCTGCATATAAACAAAAGAAAAATGTAATCAGACCAAGAAATACAGTAGTTTATTTTTGGGACACAAAAAATACAACAACAAAACAGGAACAAACAAGTCCCTTGACCTGGTTCAGCACCACCCAGTTGGGGTCGATCTGTGCATCTCCCTCTGGATCTAAAACAACAGTCTGGTACTCCCTGAAGTCGGTGAGGGTGACCTCAGCATTTTCTGGACAAACATCGATGGTGTCGATCACAGTGTCATTGTCAAAATCCTTCTCGCATACATTACCTACGCCATCACCTGGGAGGACACACCAACAGATTTATTTGGTACACAAAAAAGAAATATAGAACTTTAATACATCCAGAACAATGCCTACCATCAAAGTCCTCCTGCAGAGGGTTGGGGATCAGATCCAGGGGGCAGCGTGTCAGGAATTCCGTCGTTGTCATCATCATCATCACACTCGTCTCCTTTGCCGTCTTTGTCAGTGTCGAGCTGAGAGCTGTTGATCACGGCCGGGCAGTTGTCTCGGGAGTCTTGGTGACCATCACCATCGCTGTTTGAATATGTGCGCATTTTCTCAGTGTGATAATTGCATAGATAAAAGGATGAATATGTGTGATGTGGTCAAAGTGGTCAGATGATACCTGTCCTTATTGGTGTCGCAGGGGTCTCCGATCAAATCATTGTCCACATCCATCTGAGAAATGACATCAGTTATTAACATGACATGCGCATGAAGCAGCTTGAACCTTTTCAGCATTATTTATTCATTTTCCTGAAAGTCACAGTGTTCTAATGCTTTTCCACCAGCAGCTTTACCAGTGTATTTGGGAAGTCTGGGAAACAGTTTTTAACTTAGTACCAGACTGAAAATCATTGTTTCACTGCTGTCTTGTTTGAAAAGTTTGTGCAGATGTCACTGGTCAAATTCACTTTTGGTGTGTATATATAGTGTATTATAATTTTTGTACAGACTCTTTGCTTATATTAAACTTCCTAAATCTGCAAAATCAGTTTATAATTTTCCACATTACGTTCCGCATCATATGTGCACTATTTTTAATTTTTTTATATTCTGTCTGCTGAGCTCGTGACCTGTGTTGATGAGTAGTTTATAACCACAAAAATAATGAAATAAAGACCTCTGACCTGGTCAGGGTTTGGAACATAAGGACAGCTGTCACAGGCGTCTCCCACTTTGTCTCCATCTCGATCTTTCTGGTCAGCGTTGGGAACCCTCTTGCAGTTATCCAGGTGATTGGGGATTCCTGAGATTTAAGTGAGCATCACTAGTGAATGTCCAAGCAACTGGTTTTTAAAATGCCAAAACCTTTTTTTTCAGTGTGTATCCATAATTTAATTCAGAGCTTTTAAGATATTTAAGAACTCAATCAAAAGTCACATTAATGCCTTCTCTTTTATCAGTGTTGTCAATTTTAAGCCAATGTGAAACTTCTTAGCTGTCACATGTTGTTCATCACAGTTAAATAGACATTATGTAGAATACCGACCATCCGCATCGATATCTTCATCACATTCATCACCATATCTATCCACATCAGTGTCTTTTTGATCGTTGTTCTTGACAGCGCGGCAGTTGTCACAGGCGTCTCCAAAGTCGTCCTCATCGATGTTCCTCTGGTCCACGTTGGGAACCAGTATGCAGTTGTCCTGAAAAGAAGATGTTTCAGTTTATGTAAGTAAAGTGACAATTTTATATGTACACAGGCTTTTTTCGTTAGTTTTATTTCTTTGAAATCATTTTCCATTTTCCAGTTTTTGCCGTTACGCTTGAACCTGTGTGTTGGGAATCCCATCCCCATCTGCATCGTCATCACAGGCGTCTCCAATTCCATCCCTGTCGGCATCTTCTTGACCAGAGTTGGGCACAGTGAGACAATTATCCTGACAAGAAAATTATTAATTAAAGCAAAACTGTTTATTGCACTGGTATAGTTTTAATATAAAGTGTTATGGATCAGTTTCTTCTACCATGAGGAGCATGGTTCAGTCTAAGAGCTGCTAAAACTACATTAGGATAGTTTAGAATTTTGGTGGTCCATGATGGTCATATTGTTGTAAGCATCTACATAAGACCTATGAATATGTTGTTTTATGTAAGCAGAAAACAAAATTGTTTGATTTGCACTTGCTATATTTGTATATTACGGACATGAAGTAGACTCACCTTGTTACAGTTCCTCTCAGGACAGTTCAGTTTCTCATCAGGGAAACCATCGATGTCAATGTCAGGACCACAGATGTAGCCGTTGCCAGCCCATCCGACTCCACACTGAGAGGGTGGAAATGTATTAATAACTGTACAGACTGTTTTTATTGGCCTGTTGTGCACTACATACAGTATCAGATTAGCTTACAAACAAGTTCAAGTTCAAAGTGTTTATTTGTCATATGCACAGTTAGGAAACATGTTTCCCTGTACAATGAATTTTTTTACTTTGCCGTCCACGAGTGCCACAAAATATAAATGAAATATAAAGTATAAGTAACACAAAATCTAAGGCACTTTAAGCAGCAACAAATGCAGCAATATAATAAAAGAATATAACAGAAAATGTATGCAGCATGTGCAGCAGTCAACAGTCAATGTGCAATTATGCATGTGCAAACTGAGAATGTAAACAGTACATCACATATTTCCTGGTAGTAAACAGTGATGTGATTTCACAGTGCTCAGAGCTGCTGTATATATTTCAAAGAGTTAAACATATTTCATATGTTTAAACAGCTTCCTGATATGTTTAGCAGTTTTATAAAGCCTCAGCTACTGTTATATTTAAAGCTCTACCTGACTGTCTCATCTGAACAGTTTACAGTCAAGTGAAAATCTGAAACTTCCCACTTTTGCTCTGACAAATTTGATCCAAGGACAAGAACTCTGAAGATTTGATGTGTTCACCTGACACTCGATTGTCCCCTCTCGATGCACGATGCACGAGGCGCTGGCATGGCAGGGGTTGGGTCGGCCATTCCCACAGGCTCTCTCGGGGTGACAGCCACGTCGCTGATCACCAACGTAGCCTGTTTTACAGGGACCACACCTGAATGAGCCCTGGTGGCACACAGAAGTATTAACTCCATCAGCATCAGTCTGTGTTCCTGCATTAATGTTGCTGTTATGTAACTTCCGCAGGCAGCACTGAGCAGCAGAGGCGGGAGGTAATGAAGTACAAATACTTTGTTACTGAAGTTCATTTTTCAGGCATTTGGGCATCTGTACTCTACTTGAGTATTTATTTTTCTGACAGCCTTTTAGCTTTACTCCCGACATTTTAACCCAAACATCTGTACTTTCTACTCCTTACATTTTCAATTCAGGCTTATTAATTTTAGTTTTAATGCATTTGAGGGGAATTATTGATTATTTTATTTTGCATTTGCTGCAGCATGTGCACACCACTGCACTGGGTGATATTTTCTTCATTATAGACTGTTTTGTTTCAAGTCCACTAGCTCCTCACACTCTCACAGTGATCTCATGCATGTGTGGTTGAGTCCTGCTTTATATCAGATGCTGTAAAAAAGTTGTGGTTGTTTGAAGATTTGGGTCAGCGTTTTTAACACATGTAATGCAGAAGCTGACAGTTGTGACAGAACCTCTTTGGCTGTCAGTCCAAAAGTGGTTTCATGGAGAGACATGTCAGCTTGGGTAACCAAAGACAACATGCATCAGTGTAACAGCTCCTGCATTAGCAGTCCCAGTAGCTTCCCCATGCCCGTCCTCACCAGCATTCTGATTGGTGCCACCAGTGTCTGGTTAGATCTCCTTTGTGTAGATCATTTCAGTCTGGTCTTTTAGTTTGTTCTAATGCTTAGCTTGCACCTGCATCATGTGCTTTGGCTGTTAAAATTAGACTCCTGACAGTGTGAGAAATTTCACATTAAACTCCCACTAACTGCTGCTGCAGTAATAATGATTATGAGCTCAACTTTGATTGTGTTAATTCTTTTAAGTAATTAAAAGCCGTTTCTGTGATAGCGATGCTTTTATTACCACCATAGCTCCTGATACTTCACTGAAAACAAACCATCAATTTGGCAAGAGTTCCCAATTTGTATTTTCAGCATTCTTGTGTTAATGATCACTTAGAGAACATGTGTTTGATCCTAAAAAACTCTTAAATTATGTGTGCTCAAAGCATTTTTCCCTTAATACATAGGCTATAGGGAAGCCCAGCAGCAGGGCAGTCAGTGATTTGTTGTAAATTCCTAGTGTTTATACTCACAGGGGTGTTCATACAGAAAGAGTTCTCCACACATCCTCCATTGTTAAGGCCTTCACACTCATTGATGTCCTTGCACACCTTAACAGATAAAGCAGAACTGCCAGTGAACTTCAGTGTGCTTGCATGTCACAGCTGAATAAAAGGCAGAAGAAGATAAAGTGCAGCAGAGTGAAGACAATCCTGTAAATGGGATGAAGGTGAAACAATCCAGTGGCCTCTGTCTGACAGACTGTATGTACTATTGCTGATGGATGCAGAATGGACAAGACTAGCCTTGAGTTCAGAATATTGTATCACAGATACATTATGCCTTTTAAAGTCCAGAAATAACCTCCACACTCAGCAATTTATTACCCTTTGTTACTTTATCTTCTTTTGTTGTAAAAGTACAGTCGAAGCAGTAATAAATATAGTGGTTAGAGGAGCTGCTTTGTATGTGTTATATGTTGATCTGTGTATGTTCACCAGTGCTAACCTGTTTGTTAGCGATGGCATAGGCGAGGCCAACACCTTGGACCTGGGGCCCAGTGTATCCAGAAGGACAGGAACCACAGCGGAAACCTGAGGCGGTGTTGATGCAGCGCACTCCCATATGACACGGCATCACTGTACACTGGTGATAACAGAGAAACACATCGGGACATTATCAAAGGACCTGGTACACCAGTTTACTTGATTACGTTTGGTTGTTTTAAGCAGATGTGGAAGGTCATCCATCCGTTATCTATACCACTATTTGTTGGGGGTCTGAGCCAATCCCAGCTGACATCGTACCTTAGACAGGTCACCAGTCTGTCACCGAGACAGATAGCCACTCACACTCACACCTATGGGCAATTGAGAGTTTCCAGTCAACCTGCGTATGTTTGGGCTGTGGGAGGAAACCCACACAGGCACAGGACAAACATGCAACTCTACACAGGGAGGCCCCAGTTTGAGATGTGAACCAGCACCACTGTGCCACCCTGGAAGATTATTCATGACAAAAGTAAATAATTTTGATATTAAAAGTCTGCACTCTCACACAGTTATTCTGGCTGAGCAGATCTCTGTTTCAGTTCCAGGTGGGAAGGTCACAAATAGAAAAGGGGTATAACTCTCCCACTCCCACCATTACAGGTGCGTTACCCTAACTGGAGGGTCAGACAGACATCAGTAAAGCAGAGTCTGTACTTGTGTACACAATCCTCAGACTTTATGCATCATGTTAAACCATGTTAAACTATAACAATATATTATAAAGCATAGTAATCTCATTATATCTCAGTGCTCTTATCCTTTACTGCTCTTTCTTATCTACTATTATATTTTGCCCTGTATCGTACTAGTAGCGTGGTGTTTTTATTCATATCTTGTATATGGTATTTTAATATTTATAACTTATAATGTAATTTTGTATCATATTGTATCATTTTTATCATATCTCTGCATACCTCGTCCACATCGGTGCAGTGGGTACCATTTCCCTCCATGCCGTCAGGACAGGGTCCACACCTTGGTCCCTGAGGTGTTTCCATACACCTCACCCCAGGGTGGCAGGGGTTGGGCACACAGGAAGGCCGATAAATCACTCCCATCCCTGATGAGAGAGAGATCAACTGTGAGTCATCCGTTAACCTTTATAATTAACATCTATTATCTCTTATTCTTTTGTGTTATGGGATTTTGTTACATAGTAAAGGTTTTTAAGTCTGCTGTGCAAGGATTTAGAAACCGTTAAAACAGTATGAAAAGGTCTGGGCCTTACAGTTCGGCACAACAACTGGAAAATTCATTTTCAAAATGTAAGAATGGGGCTATACGTCAAAATGGAAATTATGAATTTTCAGATATATACAGCAGTGCATTGGGATTCATCTGGTAAACTCACCACATGCTTCACACTCCATTACTGTGTTCTTCAGGAATACAATCTCTTTTATCTAGAAGATACAGTAGATTGATAAAATTATTATATTTTAACATATTAACTCGATATCAAACTGAATCAGCCGCTAACATCTAGGTAAATACCTACTAAAATACAGTGTTTTTAAAGAGTAAATACTTTTTGAAATTTTGTGATTAATGAAGCAGAAGTTGAGAGATGAGTAGAATACTGGAGTTTTATTGCATTGCATTTAAAATCTTTATCTGCAAACACAGATGTTGAGATGTGAACACACATGATGTGCACAGACATGTACGAGTTGTGCTCAGTATGCTGGTTTACCTGTTGTTTGAGAAGATCTTTAATCTCAGCCAAGGCAAGGTTAGTCATTTTAATCTGACTGATGATTTCTCCATCTGGATTCAAAAACAACAACACCACCGCAATCAGTTAGATTACAAGTAGAAAACCTAGACGGTACATGTCTAAACACTGATATTAATCAGCTGATTCACCTCCTACATAAACCAGTCTGCATACTTGAGGTTTAGAATAACTGAAAAAGTTGTTTGTCCCAGATTTAAAAACAGTTTTACTCAGTTAAAAACATTTATACATAACAGTGAAACAGTTTAATCTGAATACTATTTAAAAATGACAGAAATGATCTAGATAATATACAACATCATTACAAAAACAGATAAAGACAGGAGCCATGAAGCAAGTAAAGGTCATATAGTGAAGCCATGAGGCGCTCGTTTTAAGTAAGTATATTAGCCAAGTTTGAAAGTTTGATCCAACACCAAATATGAACTTATGGGGGGTGCACATGTCCTCCTGTACAACATGAATCACTGCCTGTATAAAACCAAAGTCTAAGACCTGGTCACAGGCCTCGTTTGTGTCCATGACCCACACATTCACTGGAGATGTTTTGTTTCCAGCTGCAAAATTGATTTTCCAGATATGGAATAACTTTTTGGAAAGGAGGATACATTTTTCAAACTGCATGCTCACGGGAACTAAACAGCCTGTGCCCAGGGGCCTGTTCTCTCATAATCCATCCATGTCGGTCATGTTATGAAAGCACTGAGAGTGAACCAAAAGGTAACCAGTTTATCACTAGAGTGACCCCCTCTCACTTTTTCATTTGATACACTGTTTTTTTTTTTCAACAATCTAGATTATAGCTGCTTTAACTATTTCACTTCATTTTTGATGATGGATTCATGAAACATGTTATAAAACAGGAGGTGGTACTGAGTGTTCTGGTGCGGTCAGGTCCTGAAGGGCCAGGCATCTAATTAACCCAAAGACGCCCTAACGCTCCTGCTTTGACCACCAGCTCGCCCCTCAGAGTAGCTGTAGGAGGACAAAAATGTCCTGAGCATGAAGCGCAGGAAATGTGTTCTTCCCATCAGTAGCAACTCTGTTTACTGAATGAATTCCACAGCAGGGAGAAAAGATAGTGGGAATAAAAATAATAGGTTTTATGGGATCCAGGTTTTTTTTTCTGTAGCTCACAGTGATTGTTTTTCTTCACCTTTCTGTTTCCTCCACACGTCAAATAATTTCTAAACAAAATTAGAGCTTAATTTAGATACAACATGCAACTGATACTACAGTTGCATTTGTCACAGTCTGTAAAAAGACTTTTTGTCAGCAACAACTCTAACAAAATCCATAAATATATTTTTACAGTGGAAATCAATTTTCACCCTATTGGTTCCCTTTGCCACAGTCCAATGCAACATGTATGTACAGTATGCTTTTTAAATCAAGTTGTTTATTGGTACTGCTACTGGTTGTAATGTCAGTTGTCTTTTTATGCCTTGTAGAGAATGATGGATAGTAAAGTTCCTCATGAGCAAAATTGTACCAACAAAAACAAAAAAGAAATATAACTTTGTCTCACCTCTTTGTCCTGCTACAGTTCGTCCTCCTGTACAGAGAGTGCAGATCAGCACCAGATACCACAGCATGGTTTATTCTCTACCACTGTTCAGCTCCAGCACCTTTATCTCTTCTCTCTCTTGCTTTTCCTTCAGCTCAGTGTCACTGCTCCTCCTGCAACCTGGGGTCCAGTATTTGGAGTCTTTCTTCTCCTGCCCACTTTGTGGTTTTTACATCCCCGTCCCCACTTGGTTGGAAAGTCCAAAAAAAGGAGAACAGAGGTTTGATTGCACAACACAACACACCCCCACATATAATAGAAGATCTCTATGTTTTTTTATTCAGGTTTGCCAACATGAGGAAAAGTATAATGCTTCATTTAAGGTAAACTGGGCCATAGGTCTACACTGCACTAAACAAAATGGCTTATGGGCAGATTTATGGTTGTTGGTGGTATTTTGAGCCAATCTGAAGAAATGGCTGGGGTGACTGATGGATTATTGTTTAGTTGTTTGTATGTTTGTGTAGTTAGTCAGTTTGGTACCCTGGAAACTACAGTCTGGTCTAACACTAACATTTGATCAAAATGCATGAATGTTTGCTAGTTATTTCAGTGAGTATAACTGTAATCCTTCTTATGCAATTCATCGTCTTCTATTTCAGCATCAAAGTAAACCTAAACTTTTGGATGGCCTCTGTTGAACCGAAGCGTCTGAGATCAGCGAGCGTCAACAGCACAACAAACTAACTTATGAACAGATGTTTTACCTCCCTGATCTTCTCTTCTGCAACGAGGAATGTTAAGGTGAAAGGTCGAGTGTAGCAACCTCCTGCAAAGTTCATTAGTGATGGTTCGTCGCTGCTCCCACAGCAGGA